TGCCTATGAAAGAAAAGATAACAAAATTCTTCTATAAAATACAACACATATATATTTTTGATTATTATTTATATTTGTCCAACTATAACGAGTCTCCACTGTTTCGCAACTCCACTGTGCTGCGGCTTTTATGTTAAATAAATCAACATTTTCTATAATTAAGATCATGTTTTTGTACTTTATTTTATCATCATTTAATTTTGTTAAAATAAAAAAGCAAAAATATATCCAAAGTTGTATGTACATATTAAAGTTACCAGACCAACTATCTATAGTTACACGAATTTTTNCGTATCAAAGTTACCAGAACAACTATCTATAGTTACACGACATTTCATGTAAATAACTATATGAATAAATATTTAATTGAATAAAAAATCATTCGTATCATTTATTTATATTTTAAGAAGAAAAATCAATTTAAATAATTTTCCATCATTATTATTAGAATACATTTTCAGAATTAAAGATTTTTCGATCAAAAGTATATTAAAATAGATAATTTGTGAAATATAACATAAAACAAAATACCAACTAAAATTTTTAATTTTCAATTAAGTATAATTGATTTATTTAGTTTGAATTAAACTATTTAAAATTATCCAAATAAGTTATTATTCAAATTATTTAAAATTAGAATTATTTAAATAAAAATTGATTTCAATAAAATGTATTAATAAAGTAAATTTAATCTATTAAAATAAAATATAATATAGTTGCATCCAGTGCGTTTCAATGAAATTATTTAAATTTTAAATATTTTTTCTCTATAGTATATCAAACATTTTTATTCTAACTTTTTGTATTCAGCTGTATGCATCTAATATGCACTTATCCAATAAAAAATAATTCTATTAACATAAATAAATCGATTAAGAGACACACATACTTAAAATACTATCACATTGAGATTATTTTTTAGTTTTTAACTACAAAAGTGATAAAATAATATTTTATTATCCAATATATATATATAGTTTTTTCATATATTCATTTATTATAACTATTACTAGTCAAAAAATAGAAACATGACTAAAGCCTAATGACAAAAAAAAATCAAGACCCAATTTTAATTTTTCGATAACCAAAAAATATTTCTTATTTTGATGTTTTTTTTTAAGTAATCAAAATAAAGTTTTAATACGACGAAAATTAATCAATAATTTTTTCTTTTAGCAATTCAATATAAAAATTCAAATGATGAACAAAAATGGCAATTAAAAGAAGATACGACTAGAATGGCTGCAGAAAATGGAAACTTAGAATTGTTAAAATATGCATCTGAAAATGGATGTCAATGGGATGAAAGAACAACAGAAGCTGCAGCAAATAATGGTCATTTAGAATGTTTAAAATATGCTTATGAAAATGGCTGTAAATGGAATCAATTCAATATTGCGACAAATGCGATAAGAAAGAGTAATCTAGAAATATTAAAATATGTTCACAAAAATGGATACGAATTTGATGAATACACAACTAATATAGCTCCAGCGGGTAATATAGAAATTTTAAAATATGTCCTTAAAAATGGATATTCGTGTAATGAAAACACAGCTTATAGTGCTGCCATAAATGGCAATCTAGAAAATTTGAAATATTTACATGACAATGATTGTCCTTGGAATGAAAGGACAACTTGTGGGGCTGTCATAAGTGGTAATTTAAATATTTTAAAATATGCACACGAGAATGAATGTCCGTGGGATGAAAATACAACAGACACCGCTGTTTCTATCGGCAGTTTAGAATGCTTAAAATATGCTATTGAAAACAATTGTCCATGGGATCAATCCAAAATTAGCAGAACTGCGATTTTTAGAGGTAATCTAGAACTATTAAAATATATTAATAAGACTGGACACCAATTCGATGAATCCACAATTAACTTTGCTGCATCAGGTTATCATGAAATTTTAAAATATGTCCTTAAAAATGGATATCCGTGTGATGAAAACACAACTTTAAGTGCTGCCTCAAGTGGTAATCTAGAAAATTTAAAATATTTACATGAAAAAGGATGTCCATGGGATACAAGAATAACTTACGAGGCTGCCCTTCATGGTAATTTAAGTATTTTAAAATATGCACATGAAAATGAATGTCCGTGGGATGAAAGCACAACAAAAGCAGCTGCTTCTTCCGGACATTTAGAATGTTTAAAATATGCTTTTGAAAATGGCTGTAAATGGAATGAACATATACCTTCTGAGGCTGCCAGTAGAGGAGATTTAACTATGTTAAAGTATGCACATGAAAATAAATGTCCTTGGAATGAAAACACCATAGATGCAGCTGCTCTA